TTGTTTTTCCAAAATATTCTTTGCCAAATTAAAAATACATATATGCCAATGTGTTGTATATGGCAAGATGTATGGTAGATAAAATGAAATGTAAACATTTATATTATTTACATTATTCAGACTATTGTCCTCATCTTTATCGGCATATTTATTACAATGTTTCAGCCTACTTCAGGTGGTTGAAATGTCAAACTTAACCCTTTATTTCGCTCACTGGGGTAGACTGTTCTAGTTCCACGTGCCATGTGTCCTTTTATCCACTTTGCCATGTGTCCTTGAATAAAGGCGTTGGTTAGATCCAGTCACAGGACCCAAAGAGTGCGAGTTCAATACCTGGTTAAGGCAGTGGAGAACTTTCAGAGGGAAATTAACAGGAAATAACTGATAACTGACATCCATTAAAAACATGGCACGTGGAACTAGAACAGTCTACCCCAGTGAGCGAAATAAAGGGTTAAGTTCGACATTCCAACCACCTGAAGAAGGCTGAAGTGTACAACGGCCGAAACATTGTAATAAATATGACGACAAAGATGAGGACAATAGTCCGAATAATGTAAATAATGTACATAATATCTCATCTCAGAAATATAGACGTAAACATTTATTTTATAATATAAAATGCAACATGATTATAGGTCATTGTATTGCCCTCCCCAAATTTCAAATAATGAGATATAACATTGTTATGGAAACATACACCATAATAAACAGATCGGTAAACAGCAATACACTACTTTTTAATTGCTGCCTTATCTAGACTGACATTGCAATATCCTCAAAGTCCAACTTTGACAGCGTTCATAAGCACTTATAAGCACCGTTGCCCGGGTATGTAACAGTAAGAGATAGATCAAGTATCGACCATCATAAAGACTGAAAAATAAAACTGACAAAGATTATTGTTTAAGGTTGATGGACATGCATGTCTTAATTAGTTTTTTTTTACGAATTGGTCAAACCCAAACTCAAACAAAAACATTGTTTTCAATCGTTATGAGTCTCGATTGAATAGAATAATTTTATAAACAATTGTCTTGTAAATGGAATTTTTAAAGCATTTTGAATGTAAAAATAAAGAAAAAAGTGTGCAAGACAATAAGAAACACTACCTGCCAAAAAAAAAAAATGAAGTTTTGTTGAAATTGGTTGAAAAATGTAGGAAATCCGATCCTATATATAAATGATCACACACATACACACACACACACACAACCTGGGTTTTATAATAAGTATAACTCGATATGAGTTGTCCCCCTTTCATTCTGGTGACAGTGATGCCTCTTAATCCGTGTTTTCAAATTGGTTGCGTGCAAAAACAGTTGTGTTTCTCCAATTTTTGGCACTGTCAGAACCACAAGGTAATTTTACATAGTCCTGTGAAGTTTTGTTGAAATCGGTTGAAAAATGTAGGAAATACGATCCAATATATAAACGTAGAGACACACACACACACACACAACCTGGGTTTTATAATAAATATGATGAATTATTCTCCACCCTGCAAACCAGAGACGAAACATTGCTGGCCTTGAACTACTTTATTGCTATTACTATGGTAGATTTCAGGCAAGTTATATTTTTGAGTTCAGATCTTCACAGGCAGGACCCTCCATACCATTTTCATGGTGCCAAACCATCCCCATGCTCTTTGTGTTCATTTGATAAGGAGCATGTTCCACTCGGACAGCTTTGTCAGAACTGTTACTTTGTGGAACAGACTTCTAAGAGGATGATTCCCTGATAACAACAATCTTGGTCAAAGAGAGCAAGTCCAGAGTCGATTGATTTCCATCCTGCAGATGCTGATAATATGTATTTCTCAATTCCTCCTTCCCTCACAACAATCTCGGTGACCCTTGAACTTTGTATCGGTTGAACTATCATTAAATAAAAAACATTTTTTTTAAATCTCTCATTTGCTTTTTTTCAATATTTTTTTTTACCTTTGTTGTAGAGTAGTTTTCACAGTGGAGGCTTGTATTTCACTAAGTCGGTCCTAAAAGATGCTCGACGTACAAAACGTTTGGAACTTAAAATAATAGTTAATGACGCAGCAATCTAGTTGTGGTGGTTGATACTTTAATGTCCGACATCGAGTGACACACCAACTCCACTGAGCCCCCTGGCGACTGCTACTACTACTACTTATATTTGGGAGAGTCTATTTACAATAGAATAGGTATGTTCTAGTATAACAATCTTTAACCCTTTCAGTTCTGACCACTGCTTTACCAGTGGTAGAGAAAAATGACGTTAATGCCCAGCCACCGGTTGAACAGTGGTAGAGAAAAATGACTTAATATCCAGCTACTGGTTGAATGGTGAGTAAACACTTGTAACTATTTTTATATTTACCATGAAATATTACATACCAATTATTTGCAAATTTTGACTCCGAAGCCCAAACAGAAGGGTTGAATTTGTTCCGGAATGCAGAGCTCAAAGTGTTAAAAATTACAAAAAAAATAATTTCTTTAAATTATAAAATATCATGTGATAATAAAATAAAGCTTGTTTTTATTATATATATATATATATATATATATATATATATAGCTGGCTACTTGTATTCAAAGATGCCTGTCTGCAAGGACAGCTAGTTAATCCCTATTGCAGAGACTCACTCAGGTACATTTGTCTTTGTTCAACACCCACTAAACCCACTTGTGGATAATACTGCAACTATGCTGAGCAGGCCTTAGTTACAGTTTCTGAGAGAGCATGTTATCTAGTATGATCAACAGTCTGGAGAAGGCCCGCATGCTCAAACCCTCAGTCACAATGACTTGTGACTTCATGCTAGCCCAGCCATCAACAGCTCCCAAGGGTTCCATCTACTTAATTTCACTCACAAAGCTTCGGTCAAACCATGGTATGGTTTTCAGGCACTTTCCAAAGGTGGCGCATGCTGGGATTGACCCCACCAGTCCGATAACATCAGGAAGTCTCCTTCCTGACAAATCAACCTTGGTGAGATTCGATCCCGGGGCTCATGGTCAGAAAGTGAACATTCTAACCAGTCAGCCATGTGTGCATATAATCTTCAGGTTTGAGATACCTAAAGTTAACAAAATTTATTGAAACAAAACAAGTACTGTTGACCACTGATGACAATTCCAGAACAACATAACTATAAACAATTTTTTTCTAACCTCTGCCAGTTGCAATGATGGAGAAAGCATTACCTCGAACCATGGCCAGTGAGACACACTGCAAAAGCCACTCAGTTTCACGAGGCTCGTCCCTTAATCGAGCATTAATCACACCAATCCTCCAAAGGCATACCATTGAGCGAGGGGCCAATAAACCCTGAAGTCTCCACTGCCACAGGAGTAAAAAAAAAAATCTATCAGCAAGAGAAGAATATTTAACTATTTTTTTCATCTCTGCGTCCCGGGCAACAGATCCTGGCCCAACCACGGAACTGATCAAATTACCGGCCGAAAATGTATCCGCACAGGTCGCATCCCAAATCAACGACTTCCCCATTTTAAAAGGGAAAATGGTAATGCCATCCGGACGCTTTCCATCACCACGGTCGAGGCCTACGGGTTCGATTTGGGAAGGGAATCCAGCTGCATCTAAACCTCTTCGTTATAAGATGTCGTTTATTGCTGCATGCCGTGGTAAGCGGCCAGCACTCCGACATCAGGAGAGAGGATGCAAACCAAACTCATCAATGGAGGCTCCACATCTGCATCTGTGACGCTCACATAATTTGAGTCCAAAACGGATCCCGACTCCGACCACAGTGCACACGTAATCTAGAAGGGTACCAGTAGATGAAGAGGGCACTGCGTTGAGCCAGGCGCCACTACTCGGTTGTGAAGCAGATAGTAGAAAGGTGAGGTGATTCTGATCCAGAGAGAACCTCAAATTAGTAAAATTGGCCTCACATTTTATTTTAACCCAGCTTTTTTGTTTTGATGTGTCTAGTGGGAAAGAAAGTAATTCTTGGGTCCAGACACTGCAAGCTTGTTCGACAGAACTACCTGAGAAACACTGAGACAATCCACCGAGTATCTCATCAATTAATTCGAAAGTGAAGAAAGATATGCTGGAAGGGCCAAATCTACCACTGATCGAAGACCCAGGCCTCCAAAACTCAAAGGGAGCTTTTCCTGCCTCCAGCCTGTGTCATCGAAATTGACGTTGCGAATTAGCTCCGCACATCTCTTAACTGTGATATCTATCTCATTTAAGAAATCCTGTTCGAGGTAGCAAAGGGCACTTCAGAGAGTGTAGAAGAAACTCAGTAGCGAAAAACTGTTCTTCAAGAAGAAGAGGGCTGGGGATGCATCAATTAGTTTCAATTTCTCAGTCATTCTTGTTAGAATGACATGCTTAGTATCCAAACACTCTTGAATGGCCATTGGAAAGACTGGAGAACCAAGAATTTGTAATTTCCCCTTATAAGTTATTTTGATATCCTCAAGGATGAGTCCGATATCCCGGATAGCACTCTCGAAATCATCTGCACTATAATTCAAGTTTATTATATCTGACTTGGACGAGTTAATCTCAAGTCCAAGCAGAGATAAAGCAGGAATAACTCTTCGGAGGTCAGCAGCTACGGCCTTGATGGATCCTCCCAACGTTGCATTGTCAAGATACCATATATTGAAAAGAGAAGCAATGGAACGAGCTACCCCATCCATAGTCATCGCAAATAGTAGCGGACCAAGTTTAAAATTAATTTTTAGAAATGAAAAATCTTTCTTGAAGCTTTTATTTTAGTTTTTATTACAAGTTAATAGATTAAATTTAATATTTCCAGTAAGCAAAATACTTTGCTCTATATCAAAATTTAGGGTTTTTTTTTTTTGCTAAAAAATGCTGATTAGCACCTTTTTTTTCAGTCATCTTTCATCACAATGTAATTCACTTTATTAAAAAAAAATCTTCCAAAAATAAAATATACTTTTCTGAAATTTTAAGGAATATTAGCCGATTTAAAGATTAATTAATCTAATTTGAAACAAATATTTATGTTAAGTTTAAAATACCATGAGAAAGTGTGAGAGAGAGAGAGAGAGAAGTGGGCAGGCAGAGAGAGAGAGAAGTGGGCGGGCAGAGATAGAAAGAGAAAACTGGGCGGGCAGGGCAGAGAGAAAGAAGTGGGCGGGCAGAGATAGAAAGAGAAAACTGGGCAGGCAGAGAGAGAGAGGAGTGGGCAGAGATAGAGAGAGAGGAGTGGGCAGAGATAGAGAGAGAGGAGTGGGCAGAGATAAAGAGAGAGGACTGGACAGAGAGAGAGAAAAAAAACTGGGCAGAGAGAGAGAGAAAAAAAAACTGGGCAGAGAAAGAGAGAAAAAAAAAGTGGGCAGAGAGAGAGAGAAAGAAAAGTGGGCAGAGAGAGAGAGAAAGAAAAGTGGGCAGAGAGAGAGAAAGAAAAGTGGGCAGAGAGAGAGAAAAGAAAAGTGGGCAGAGAGAGAAAAAAAAGTGGGCAGAGAGAGAGAAAAAAAAGTGGGCAGAGAGAGAAAAAAAAAGTGGGCAGAGAGAGAAAAAAAAAACTGGGCAGAGAGAGAGAGAGAAAAAAACTGGGCAGAGAGAGAGAGAAAAAAAAACTGGGCAGAGAGAGAGAGAGAGAAAAAACTGGGCAGAGAGAGAGAGAAAAAACTGGGCAGAGAGAGAGAGAAAAAACTGGACAGAGAGAGAGAGAAAAAACTGGGCAGAGAGAGAGAAAAAACTGGGCAGAGAGAGAGAAAAAACTGGGCAGAGAGAGAGAGAAAGAAAAGTGGGCAGAGAGAGAGAGAGAGAAAGAAAAGTGGGCAGAGAGAGAGAGAAGAGAAAAAGTGGGCAGAGAGAGAGAAAAAAGTGGGCAGAGAGAGAGAGAAAGAAAAGTGGGCAGAGAGAGAGAGAAAGAAAAGTGGGCAGAGAGAGAGAGAAAGAAAAGTGGGCAGAGAGAGAGAGAAAGAAAAGTGGGCAGAGAGAGAGAGAAAGAAAAGTGAGCAGAGAGAAAGAAAGAAAAGTGGGCAGAGAGAAAGAAAGAAAAGTGGGCAGAGAGAGAGAAAGAAAGAAAAGTGGGCAGAGAGAGAGAAAGAAAAGTGGGCAGAGAGAGAGAAAGAAAAGTGGGCAGAGAGAGAGAGAAAGAAAAGTGGGCAGAGAGAGAGAGAAAGAAAAGTGGGCAGAGAGAGAGAGAGAAAGAAAAGTGGACAGAGAAAAAAAGGAGAGAGAGAAGGGGACAGAGAGAAAGGCAAAGAAACCAAAATGGACAGAGAGAAAGGCAGAGAAACAGAATTGGACTGAGAGAATAGGAGAGAGAAAGGTGGGAAAAAAAAAACAAGATTGAGAGCTGGTCAAGACAGAAAATTGACAAAGACAGAAAGGGAGAGTTGTAGATAGACATGAAAATACAGAGAAAGATGAAGAGAGAGAAAACTAAAAAGAGATATTCAGATATTTTCAACATCCATCAATTATCTGTGCACACACGCAGACACACAGAGTTGCAACAAAGAACAGTAGTAGCAGCCAATGAAGAAATGGATGAATTTCTCAAGTGGCCAATTGCTTCTACTATCAAACCATAGCAATGAATGCAGAAACACTGAGCACAGAAAACTGAAGTTGCCTCCTAGAAACCTTGCACCTTGCTTCCTTTACCACAACAGCTACTGTCAAATCACAGAATATTTGATATTGCACGGCCAACCAACCGCTTCTTTCCATAGTTGCTCTTCACTAAACATCTTTGTTCCTTCTTTGGCAATGAAAATATTTAGTTAAACAAGCAAGTAGAAACCTGCACCTTAAAATAAAATCAATCACATTCAATTATAACTGAATTTATCCCTTACAAAAGGGTCATATAATCCAGGTATGACTTATTAAACAAATTTTTCATTTTAATTTAGATTATTTGTACCATCAAAATACTACAGAAATAAGTCATTTTACAATTGTATTGCTTATATTTTCATAGTAATTTGTGATTTTTAGTGATACACATCATTCTATTCTCATTTCTGCTGCTAGTAACAAAAAAAAAATGATGGTAATCAAAGTAATCAATAAAGCAGAACCGTTGAAATAAACGGTTGTATTTGATGGCAGTTAAAATTTTCCCCAAAATATGACTGAAAAAACTAACCCGTTGATTTTATGTGCAAGGTGACAGGATCTTGTCAGCTGTTTACCCAGGCATAGTAGACTGTGAGCACTTAACTTCTTAATAGTGTCATAATAACACTTGTTACATTTGCAAACACAATTCATATGAAAAATGTAACTATTATAATGGGACTGAGCTAGTACTTTTTTATAACTGTTCTATAATAGTTGTTATATTTGCATATGCATTACATATCATAAATGTAACAATTATAATGGGACAGTATGTTTTTTATATTGTGTCCCATAATAGCTGTTACATTTGCATATACATTTCATATACTAAATGTAACAATTATAATAGGACAGAGATTCTATTTGTTATATCTCTGTCCCATAATATTAAGTTGAGTCAAAACTGATTTTGTTTATCAACTTCAAGTCAATTATATATTCACCATTATTTACAATGACTTGTTGCCACATATCAGGCAACTTTTTTCATACCTTTTGACAAAATTTCCACAAGTTTTTTGGTTTGGTTTGATTTGGTTTATGGCATGTCAACCTCAATGGGTTATTTAATGCCAACAAGATTTTTATTGCTGGTAATTTTTTATTTTCAATAATGTATTGCTGGTAATTATTTTTTTTACAAAGTATTTCTGGTATTAAAACCTATTTAAACATTTCATAGAGTTTTGACCCCAGTTTGGGGGTTAACTATTTACCCATAGCTGAGACCCCCTACCAGATGCTACCACCCCAGGTCAGGGTGGACCTGAGAACACCAGCAATTAAGAGGTGGTTCATGCCCCTCAAAACCTCCTGATAGTGGCTTTGCCGTTAGATAGTTTACAGTCTTACCCAGGACGTGGATGTAGTTTATCATCATACCCAGGAAGGGCCACAGGTTTGATCTGAAATGTTTTCTTTAAACTCTTAAATCACATTTTCATTACAGAAAGTTTTCCCCAATAAAATGTTTTGTAGTAATCAGAATTAATTGGTTCATACAAAGTCAGGTGAATATAGTGGGGGTGGTGTGGAGGGGTAGAACAGACTAACCAAGTTCCAAAATTGTCTCTTGTGTTAATCTTGGTATATTCGTGTATAGTCGTGAAGAACCAAATTTTACATATTGATGAGTACAAGACACTTATTAATGAAACTTATGGACAAGTTACAGCTGCTGGACATATAAGTGTGCTTTTAGTGTTTCTCTGCTTTTCAAGAACTGCAAATGAATAATACCCCTAGGATCCTACTACAAGCACAAGTTGTCAGTATGATGAAAAACTCTATTCAGCAGTAAGGCTTCTGATTGGGAGATTGGAGGTTTTCAGGAGCATGGAAGTTGATAAACAAATCAAGTCAACATACACAACTTCCCCATTCTTCCATGTTTTTTTTTTGTTTTTTCCAGGAGCATGGAACCTGCTGTTGTTTCCAGGTTCACCATGACCTGGGGTGGCAGCACCTGTTAGGGTCCCAGCTATGGGAAAATAGTGAATCACCAAACAAAAACAAACATCAAAACACTACAAATACATTTTTATAGTAAAAATACCAACAATAAATTTATATAAAAAATGACCAACAATACATTTTATCTGTAGTTGAAGCCTACAATTGCATTCAAAATATTTAGATTTCAGCATTAAATAATCCAAGGAGGTTAATATGCCACTATACAAAATCAACCAATATGAAAGAACTCTTTCACAACATTAATCCATATAATATCCTACAATTTCTTAAAGAAATCAAACTATCAATCCAAAATATAACTTTAACAAAACTATAAAATAATACACACATATTACTACCACTATCTATACAAACATGTATATGCAAAAAACCTGAGTATTATCTACCATGTATTCAATTGTGAAAGTAGAATAACATATTTTTATTACTCTGTAGCCCCCATGAAAATTAAATTTCAGCATTAAATGAGCCAAAAGAAGTTGGTAAACAAAACATGCACAACCTCTCCATTCTTCCATGTATTTTTTTTTGTTTTGTTTTTTACAGTAAGGTTCATCCTATACAAGGCCTGAGTGCCACTGAAGGTAGAGTTTTATGTTAAGGGGGATAGGAGGGGAAATAACAGTTGACTCTAGACTTGAACAGATTGTAGTGATCGGGAAATATCCTCAAGGGAGTCTGGTTCACGGGAAGAAACTGCTTGAGTGGAACTATACCTCAATAATAAGGGTAGTTTGTTACTATGTAAGTAGCATGGCAGGTCCTAGTCATGAAGATCTAACTTGGTGGAGCCATGAGATGCAGTGCATCCGAGCACTTTCCATGATAGTAACAATAGAGCAGTGAGAGACTTGCCACATCACACCTGAGAGAGAGAGAGGTTGGAGTGTGGAAAATAATTCTTGTTCCACAAGCACTCGGATCATTGTTTTATCACCCATTTTGACGTATTTGAGGAATGCTTAGTTAGGAGGATATATTCATCAATACAACCAATTCTCCCAAATCAAAATTACTTCTGACTCAGCATAATAGTTATTTTATCTCTAGATTTCATACACTAAATATTGAACACTAAAATAACCTACAGTCTGTTGTTAACTGGGGCAAAGAATGGCTTGTTAATTTTAATACCTCCAAAATAATACTGCTCTCTAGTAATCATCAAAGAGACCACTTTCTGCCTCCCATCAACATTGCTGATGCTAACCTTCAGGAAAGTGACGCATTGCGCCTTCTCACGCTAACATTATCAGCTGACATGCGGTGGAATGATTGTACTGAATCCATTTCTAGGTCTGCTGCTAAGAAAGTTGGTTCACGGTATCATACTAGAAAATTTTTCTCTCAAATCTACCATTCGTCCAGGCTTTGAATATTGCTGCCATATATGGTTCAGTGCTCCTATTATATATTTAGAGATTCTTTGATAAAATCCAAAGAAGAATCAGCAATATTATTGGTCCTGAACTGGCATCTTGGCTTCAGTCACTTTCTGTAAAGTTACTTCCCTGTGCCTTTACTATAAAAACTTTCAGGATAATTGTTCAGATGAGCTCTCTGCTAAACTTTATGAATGTAAGTGCAGTACTAGATTAACAATAGTTGAAATGGTTAACTAATTTTCCAAAAAATTTACTAAAAAAAAAAAATTAAAAAAATAAAATAAAAAAATAAAAAAAATAAAAACTTACTAAAAAAAAAAAAAAAAATTTTTTTCAATTTACCAAAAAAAAAAAATTTACTAAAACAAAAAAATACTAGATTAACAATAGTTGAAGTAGCTAATTAATTTTCCAAAAAATTTAGTAAAAAAAAAAAAAAAATTTTAATTTTTTTTAGTAAAAGTAAACTTTTAGTAAAAGTTTTTTAAAAACTTAAAAAAAAAAAAATTAAATTAAAAAAAAAAATTTTAATTTTTTTTAGTAAAAGTTTTTTAAAAAACTTATTAAAAAAAAAATTTTTTTTTAAATTTACTAAAAAAAAGGTACTAGATTAACAATAGATGAAGTGGCTAGATGTAACTATAAGTTCTATGCTAACAGTTTTTTTCACACTTCTTGCTTGTGAAACTCTTCTAGCTCCATGCTTTTCAGCTAACTTTGATCTTCAAATATTTAAATGCAATGTCAATCATTATCTATTTTCCTGATTATTCTTCTATTGTTCTCACTGTTTCATAATGTTTCTGTTTTCTAATTATTTTACACTCAGTAACCCCTTGTGCCTTAATGGCTTTACTACCCTGCATGGATTGGATTAGTGAGTTTAATTTTAACAGATCCCCATTTGGGGATCTGTTAAAATTAAACTCACTACATGTTATTCCTTGTATTTACATTGAATTGCTTACATACATTGCATTTGCAGAGGTATATTTTACAACACTTAGCCTTTAAAGTTTTATTATTAGCCGTGAAAGACACTTTCTGTCGTAATTTTACATTTCACAGTGAAAAAATAATGACTATTTTGAAAAGTATTTTTTTCATTATTTCTAATCAATATTATTTTTTAAGTTTTATACACATATATATTTGATGTTCTAGTTTCTATAAAAATGACAATGGTAACTACTGAAATTAAACATAAGGACTAAATAAACTCCTAAAACAACTGTCTGGGCCAAAAAGACGTATTAAAAATATTTGGCAGTTAATGGATTAAGAATAGTATTTTTTTGGTTATTGGAATTTATTCCGTATACACCAGTTTATATATATATATATATATATATATATATATATATATAGAGAGAGAGAGAGAGAGAGCACATTTTTTACAAAAGAAACCTTACCTGGGCATCTATCACTTACATATCTCTCTTCTTAATGTACGTGTATGTATAGGGTACAATGGGTAAATTTTCGCCATCTTATATTTTTAATTTCATATTTGTGTATTGTTTGTTTTTGACTGCACAGTAGTAGGGTCAATCAAGCACTGTATGTGAGAAAAAGAGCACAATTTATACTGTCTCTTGTTAAATCCATTACTCATAAGTCTTCCTCATAGATTTTTTTTTTATAATTTCCCACTTTATCTCAAGCAAAATCCTATGTTTTGGTTTTTCACCATTGCTCTTTACACTGACTTTCTTTAGACCAATGGTGTCACTAAAGGAATTTCACAAAATAACAGCAAAAAAAGACAACAAAACAGAGATCCTTGCTGTTTCTTTTATATTATTTTGTTTGTGATACTGGAAACTGTCTTCTGCTGATTGTTTTTGCCAAAAGTTTATATGTAAGAAGATACAATAAAAATGCTATGAATTAATCTGATTTATGAAAAACAGAGTGGTTTACCGCATTGTATTCTTCTGTTCTTCATATAATTGGAGATACTGAGAAATTACCCCTTCAAATTTTCCAAACATTTCATAATCATTAGTATATTAGCCTGAAAATATGATTTGTAATCTTTCTATAGCAAATGCATACATATATCTGTCTGTCTGTTTATCTATCTATCTCTCTCTCAGGCTGTACATTTGTCTATCTATCTATCTATCTCTCAGGTTGTCTATCTATCTATCTATCTATCTATCTATCTCTCTCACAGGCTGTCTATCTATCTATCTATCTATCTATCTATCTCTCAGGTTGTCTATCTATCTATCTATCTCTCAGGCTGTCTATCTATCTATCTCTCTCTCAGGCTGTCTATCTATCTATCTCTCTCTCAGGCTGTCTATCTATCTATCTATCACAGGCTATACATTTGTCTATCTATATCTCTCTCTCAGATAGATAGATAGATAAACAAATGTACAGCCTATCTCTCTCTCAGGCTGTACATTTGTCTATCTATCTCTCTATCGGATAGATAAATAAATGTACAGCTTATCTATCTATCTCTCTCTCGGACAGATGAATAAATGTACAGCTTATCTATCTCTCTCTCTCTCTCTCGGACAGATGAATATATGTACAGCCTATCTATCTCTCTCTCTCAACAGATGAATATATATTTCAGCCCATCTATCTCTCTCTCTCGGACAGATGAATATATGTACAGCCTATCTATCTCTCTCTCTCGGACAGATGAATATATGTACAGCCTATCTATCTCTCTCTCTCGGACAGATGAATATATGTACAGCCTATCTATCTCTCTCTCTCGGACAGATGAATATATGTACAGCCTATCTATCTCTCTCTCTCAGACAGATGAATATATGTACAGCCTATCTATCTCTCTCTCTCGGACAGATGAATAAATGTACAGCCTATCTATCTCTCTCTCTCGGACAGATGAATAAATGTACAGCCTATCTCTCTCTCTCTCGGACAGATGAATAAATGTACAGCCTATCTATCTCTCTCTCTCGGACAGATGAATAAATGTACAGCCTATCTATCTCTCTCTCTCGGACAGATGAATAAATGTACAGCCTATCTATCTATCTCTCTCTCGGACAGATGAATAAATGTACAGCCTATCTATCTCTCTCTCTCAGACAGATGAATAAATGTACAGCCTATCTATCTCTCTCTCTCTACAGATGAATAAATGTACAGCCTATCTATCTCTCTCTATCACAGATGAATAAATGTACAGCCTATCTATCTCTCTCTCTCTCTCGGATAGATGAATAAATGTCTATGTGTCTATCTCGCTCAGGCTGTACATTTATCTATGTGTCTATCTATCTCAAAAAGGCTGCACATTTATCTATGTGTCTATCTATCCTCAGGCTGTACATTTTATCTATGTGTCTATCTATCTCGCTCAGGCTGTACATTTATCTATGTGTCTATCTATCTAAAATTCAGGCTGTACATTTATCTATGTGTCTATCTATCTCGCTCAGGTTGTACATTTATCTATGTGTCTATCTATCTACTTCAGGCTGTACATTTATCTATGTGTCTATCTATCTACGCTCAGGCTGTACATTTATCTATGTGTCTATCTATCTCGCTCAGGCTGTACATTTATCTATGTGTCTATCTATCTACGCTCCAGGCTGTACATTTATCTATGTGTCTATCTATCTTCTCAGGCTGTACATTTATCTATGTCTATCTATCTCGCTCAGGCTGTACATTTATCTATGTGTCTATCTATCTCGCTCAGGCTGTACATTTATCTATGTGTCTATCTATCTCGCTCAGGCTGTACATTTATCTATGTGTCTATCTATCTCGCTCAGGCTGTACATTTATCTATGTGTCTATCTATCTTAA